CCAGTGGGGGGTGATTAAGAGAGTTCTGCCTCTTTGTAGCTTGATTTTTAGGTAGTTGACAAGGCAAAGCAGAGGAATTGGAGACAGATCCATAGGCCCTATGTTATAATACAAGATGGAAGGACAGAGTGCTGCAGATAAGGCATGCCTGCTCGAGAGAATCAGGTAGATTCCAGAGGTAATTAGACTTGCACAAACTGAGAAGGGTGCTGTGTGTTTCAGCAATAGAAGATGTGGATGGCGTGCCTGACAAAGGAAATGGAAGTAAAAAGGGAGAGTTGCTCAAAGTAGCCTGGTAGGTTTGGGGGATTGTCAGAGTCTAGACTAGAACAAAAGTGCAGTATGGAGCAGAGGGAGATGGGGTGGAAAGAAAAGTAGGGGCCAGACCACTATGGGACTTACATTTTATCCTACAGGCAATGGGGAGTTATTAGGCAATTTTGAGCAGGAATTTACTCTGGCATTGATTGGAGCAGACAGAAACTCAGAGAAGCTATCTATGGTTGGCCTGGTCCTGGTCCCCCTCACCTTTAAAAAAAAAATGAAGAAGAGGAATTGACATCTGTTTGAATTCATTTTTCCCATTCATTTTCTTTAGGATTGAGTGGTACACTATTATCTAAACACTCTAAACTTCACTTTTTTTTCCTGGGTATCTCTTCACATTTCAGCCCTCAAGATGAAGATCAAGATAAAAAAATAAAGGAAAAAGAGCCACATGAATTGGAACCTCAGAAAACAGAAAAGGATCTACATCCAGACCTTATGTGCAAGGTATCTGTGTTCCAGGGCTCTAACCCAACAGTACAGTACAGCTGTGTCATAGGATCCATTCACTGGGTGACTTTTTAGAGGGTGAGGCATGCAGCTCTCAGACAGAGTCAGAAGATGCAGTGGGTTTTGAAGGCATTTTACCAAAGATAGGAACGTGACAACAACACTGAGCTCCAGCCTGGGATTTTCCACTGAGTAGCCCGATGCAGGCCTTTACAGTAGGGTGGGGCTGGTGTGAGTCCAGCAAGGCACCCAGTGGGCAAGACACAGAGATGCTCAGGTGCCAACCATGCACTTGCACATGCCTGGAGGGAGGATTCTGTGCTCTTTGTCTCTAAGCTCTGTCATCTCATCTGTAAAATGAGAATATAATCATCATCCCCATTCCTACCCTCAGTCATGATGATAAAATGAAATAATGTACATGGAAGTGCTTTGTAAGCCATAAGCCTTTTATCTGTTGGTTACTTTAGCTATTTTCAAGTACTTTCAAATATATCATCATAGTTAACCCTCATGTCCACTTGTGGTCAGAAGGACAGTAATCCCCTCTCCTGTGTCATGTGATCATTAGAAAATGAAATGTATTATTGTTGTCTAGTGATTGATTGGTTGGTTGATAGTTTATTAATACTAAATACTTTATATGTGTGTGTATTGATATCCAGTTGACACTACTCCCTCCAAAACAGTGTGATTGGAGGCTAAAACAATAGATTCCACCAGGGCTACTACTAGTGCTTAAAAAGTTTTAGATACCTGTATAATATCTACCTGTATAGAAACTGTATAATATCAAATTGTCTCAGGTTCTTCTGCAGGGATTGGATCTATCATCTTGGTGGTGGTGTTAGCCTGAGCTAGTGTGTCGGCCCAGGATAGGGCTGGACCAGGTTGGGTGTATAATTCAGAGAATTATGAAAGACAGGGACCAGCCTGGCTGGTATGGATCAGTGATTGAGCAGTGACCCATGAACCAGGAGGTCATGGTTCAATTCCCAGTCAGGGCACATGCTCAGGTTGTGGGCTCATTCCCCAGTAGGGGGCGTGCAAGAGGCAGCCAATCAATGATTCTCATTATTGATGTTTCTATATCTCTCTCCCTCTCCCTTCCTCTCTGAAATAAAATAAAAAAAACATATTTAAAAAAAGAGAAAGACAAGAATCAGAGCCAGGGAAGCAGCACCGTATGTTAAGGCCAGAGGGCAAAGCCAGGGGCAGGGCTGTAAATGGGTGATGAGGTCATAGGTCAGAAAAGCATTAATCAGGAGCTTGTGAGAAAGGCAGTAGAGGAGCCTGGTTAAGATGTATTAACCACTAAAGAGCAAAAGCAGGATGTGCTCTCAGTGCTGGCCATGAGCCAGGAGCCAGGTATGGGGTTGGACATATTCCTACATTCATTGAGTAGATTTGAGTTTGGGATATTATTAGAAGTTATTTGGAATGTGTTAGACAAATGTGGTGGGTAGGTTAGCTGGGCAGTGCTCTTTGGGGTCAAATACAAACTATAAGTCAGTAGATACATAATCCACTGTGATTCAAACTGACTCTAGGGCACAATCCCAAGGACAGGCCCAATGAGAATCCATGAACTACTTTATATGGGCTACACTGTGGGAAGGCAGCCACCATACCTGTGTGAAACATTGACTTCCCTACTTTCTTATCACTTTTTCCACTTAAAAACTCATTCTTGGCTATGTGACTAAAAAGAATGCCCCTCCTAACACTGTCTTCTTAGTTTGCTTAGATCCCACCAAGAACTCAGAAAATTCGATGCCTTTTATCTGTTGGTTACTTTAGCTTTTTTCAAGTACTTTCAAATATATCATCATAGTCAACCCTCAGGTCCACTTGTGGTCAGAAGGACAGTAATCCCCTCTCCTGTTTCATGTGATCATTAGAAAATGCTTAAATGGCCAGAAATGTTCGGATTCTCCTCTGTCTCCAGTGTCTCTTTCTGCAATGTATCCAGATCTTTCTGGAATGCAAATCTGAACAGGTTTCTTTCCTGCCTGACTCCCTGTCACTGTGAGATGAAGCCCACACACTGCCTCAGATGCAAAACCCTTCCCAACTCAGCCCCATTCTATCTTGTCTTTCTAGTCTCATTTCCTGTCTTTCTTCCCCTATTCTTTCCCCCTGGCCCTTCAAAGCTTCCCTTATCAGTAGCCTCCATACTATCCTCACAGGACACTAAATACCACAAGCTTTTACTCATGCTGATTTATCTGCCAGGTGGATCCTTTAGCCCCTCAATCAATCTCTTTCTTATATTTTAAAACACAGTTTAATAAAACCTGCCTTCGAAGTCTTCCCCAACCTTGTCTCTTAAAACCAAGAGATTTTACCTCCTCCTCCTCTCTGTTTCATCTCAGTAAGCAATGCTGTTGTGAAAAGCTTGCCACATTATACCTTAACTAGAGGCTGGGTGCATGGAATTCATGCATGGGGGGGGGTCCCTCAGCCCAGCCTGCACCCTCTCCAATTTGGGACCCCTTGGGGGATGTCCGACTGCTGGATCCCTGAGGGATCAGGCCTAAACTGGCAGTAGGACATCCCTCTCGCAATCCAGGGACCACTGGCTCCTAATCATTCACCTGCCTGCCTGTCTGATTGCCCCTAACTCCTCTGCCTGCCTGCCTGATCACCCCTAACCACCTCTGCCTTAGCCCCCGCCAACATGGCTTTGTCCGGAAGGATTGGATGACTGGAAAATGTCCTGTTGACCCGGTCTAATTAGCATATTACAACTTTATTAGTAGAGACTATAGGCCCAGTGCACAAAAATTTGTGCACTCGGGGGGTCCCTCAGCCTGGCCTGTGCCCTCTCGCAGTCTGGGACCCCTTGGGGGATGACCACCTGCTGGTTTAGGCCTGCTCCCTGGGGAATTGGGCCTAAGCTGGCAGTCAGACATCACTCTGGCAGCCCTGGAGCCCTTGGGGGATGTCCACTTGCCACCGGAGAGCAGGCCTAAGCTGCAGTCGGACATTCTTAGCGCTGCTGAGGAGGCAGGAGAAGCTCCCACCACCACTGCTGTGCTGGCAGCCATCTGCCTGGCTTGTGGCTTTTGGCTGAGCAGAGCTCCCCTGTGGGAGTGCACTGACACAGGGGGCAGCTCCTGCATTGAGCGTCTGCCCCTGGTGGTCATTGTGTGTCATAGTGACCAGTCATTCTCAGTCGTTCTGCTGTTAGGGTCAAATTGCATATTACCCTTTTATTATATAGGATAGAGGCCTGGTGCACAGGTGGAGGCCAGCTGGTTTGCCCTGAAGGGTGTCCTGGATCAGGGTGGGGGTCCTGCTGGGGTGTCTGGCCAGCCTGGGTGAGGGGCTGATGGCTGTTTGCAGGTTGGCCACACCCCCTTCAGGGTGGGGGTTCCCACTGGGGTGCCTAGACAGCCTGGGTGAGGGGCTGATGGCTGTTTGCAGGCTGGTCAAGCCCCCCAGTAGGGACCCTCACCCCATGGGTGTTTGGCCAGCCTGGGTGAGGGGCTGATGGCTGTTTTCAGGCTGGCCACACCCCCTTTAGGGTGAGGGGGTCCCCACTGGGGTGCCTGGCCAGTCTGGGTGAGGGGCTGAGGGCCATTTTCAGGCTGGCAAAGCCCCCCAGCGACTGAAGCTCCCAGCCTCTCCTTTTTTTTCTTTTTTTTTTATTCTGGGGTTTATTTACCTTCTATAATTGAAACTTTGTTGCTTTGAGTGGAGCTCAGAGCCAGCCAGGAAGCTTGGCTTCCTCCATTACTGGAGCAACCAAGCCTCCTGTTTGCTTCAGTTCCGTGGCTGCCGGCCGCCATCTTGGTTGGGTTAATTTGCATATAGTCACTCTGATTGGCTGGTGGGCATGGCTTAAGGCGTAGCGAAGGTACGGTCAATTTGCGTGTTTGTCTTTTATTAGTGTAGATTATTTGTATATTGTTTACATGCATATAAACTACTGTGAGGTAGCATCTCTCCATTTCCAAAGGGTAGCATGTTGTCTCACCTTCAGTAAGTGTTCAACAAACTCTGGAAAGAGTTAGGTAGGAACAGAAGAATGGTGGGTAAAAAGATGAAATGTCAGCCGAAAGGCACCAAGTGTTCCTTAGTGGTCAAGAGCACAGGGGTCTAAGGTCAAGTCCTGCCTCTGTATATTACTAGCTGTGTGACCAGATGCCGCAGTCTCTTGCAGCAAGGGTTCAGGAAACTGGAGAAGGGGCTGCAACATAAATGGATAGGGACTAGACAAGAAATATAAATTTGGAAGGCATGGGGGAAAGCCAGGCGAAAACCAGCTCTCTAGTGGGGTGGCTTCCCAAATGTCCGGACCCACGGCTTTTTATTCACATATTTTGCCCTTTAGCAAAATAAACATACAAATCAAAGGTAAAGTTTGGTAAACAGTAAAAGATTATCAGGTTAGGCCACAGTGATCGGCAAACTCATTAGTCAACAGAGCCAAATATCAGCAGTACTTCTTCAAAATAGACTCGCCCAGGCCAAAAACCGACTTCTGCGCATGGGCCACAAAGTTTCAATCGCACTGTACGTGCACTCACACATGGTATTTTGTGGAAGAGCCACAATCAAGGGTCCAAAGAGCCACATGTGGCTCGCGAGCCGCAGTTTGCCGACTATGGGGTTAGGGGAATTGCCTACAGCTGTTTGGCCAGCAGCAGGCTAATATAATGCTGATATTCAGCCCTGCTGAATAATGAGGACTTTTGAGGACTTTTCACATTTATTATGACCTGCTGGACTTAGCCTTCAGCAACCAGATATCAGTTATTTAACTGTTTGAGTCCCAAGCAGCACGATCGCGCTGCTTGGTATTTCTCAACATAAAATAAAACAAGCGCTATCATGCTGTTTGGGTCTTTGGGTCTTTTCGTACTCATTTAGAGAAAGCGCGGTTGCGCTGTTTGGGATTCTTCGACAGTGTTTTTTCAATACCCCCTGGGACTCAAACGAATCGTATGTTTTCTCGACATAAAATCTCAGCAGCGCAATCGCGCTGCTTGGGACTCAAACAGTTAATGTTCCAAACTCTTTATCCAGAGCACTAAGGACATTTCCCCAATGGGGTGTCATGAAGATTAAGTGAGATTAAATCTATAAGAACCTGCCTCTGGTCAGTGCTCCATTCTATCCTGCTGGTCTTCTGTGCCTAGCATTCGTTGGGCATTCAGAGGTGAACAAAAGACACAGTATGAGCCCTCATGAAACTCAGAGTCTGGTAAGACAGAATTAAATAAAATAATAAATAAGGGCTGTCTATGAGGAATTAATAAACAGCATGTGTAAGCAGAGAACTAAACAGGTAAGTCAAAGCCCTTCAGTACTCTCCCTGTTGCATGTGTTTAGGTGCGTTCCTGTGAAGAGACGTGTGGAAAAGTCCCAGTGATGAAAGTTCAGAGACATATGAAGAGAATGCTGGCCAGAGAGCATGATGCTGTGATTGACAGCATCCAGACAGAGGCCTGCCCCCAGGACCCAAAGCTGGCCAGGCACTCCCAAGGCCAATGTAAGTTGCATTTCTTCCTGGTTCTCCTCACCATTATGATATTATTTTAAAGTGGTGTGTTGCCAAGATTTTAATTTATTTTCTAAATATTTATTGAACATCTGTTATATACCAAGTAACTTGCTCTAGTGAGGCAGCTGAGCAGTAGTGGAAAGACCACTGGACTTAGAGGCAGAAGACCTGAGTTCAGTCTAGATGCTAATACTTATTAGCCATGGGGTAAGTAACTTCATATTTCTGCAGCTGGGTTTCTTTACTTATAAAAAGAGATCATAATGTGGGCCTCACCAGGGTTTTTTGAAGACTAAATTGAAAAGTATGCCACATAATAGGTACTCAGCAAATATTTGTTCCTTCTTTTTAATCTGCCAGATCCTAATGAGTTTGTTTTTGTAGACCCATGTAATTGACACACTGATGCTACAGTATGATATCATTACTTGACTTTATTTAGGTTGCATTTTACCTTCATGCTAGTTAAGACACTTGATTATAAGTAACAGTAATCAAATCATACTATCTTAAGTCAAAAAAAAAAGAAAGGGGGGCTCCAGGGCCACAAGCAATACTACAAGGGTTCAGTATTGCTCCTGGCTCTACTCCCTCTGGGTCACTCCACTTTTGGACAAATCCTACCCCTGTGGAGGCAAGATGGCATCTAGCAGTAACAGGCTCAGACCCTGTCCTCTTAGGAAGCCCAGAGGAAAACTGGAAATTGTCATATTCTCAACAGCTATAAGGAAAGGCCCAGCTTTGAATCTTACAGGCTCTGTTTGGGCCACATGCCATCCTGAACCAGTCCTTATAAATGGGGGATCTGATGCTCCGGTTGATCCATCTGGGTCATAAACTCACCCTGGAGCTGGGGGTAGAATCAGATCTAGCAAAACTACCTAACGCCAGGTTGACAGATTTCCCAAGGAAAATAAGAGGGCCATTAATCAGAAAAGAAAAAAAAAAGACACTGGATAGACAAAGAAAACAGGTGTGCACTCCAACCCAATAAGCCATAGCAAACCACTGATATTTCAAAAAGTGTGAGAATCAGAGTTGTAGGAAGAATAAATTTGTAGCCGAACCGGTTTGGCTCAGTGGATAGAGCGTCGGCCTGCAGACTCAGGGGTCCCAGGTTCGATTCCGGTCAAGGGCATGTACCTTGGTTGCGGGCACATCCCCACTGGGGGGCGTGCAGGAGGCAGCTGATCGATCTCTCTCATCAATGTTTCTGGCGCTCTATCCCTCTCCCTTCTTCTCTGTAAAAAATCAATAAAATATATTTTTAAAAATAAATACATAAATAAATTTGTAATGATCATGAAATGGACTCAAGGACCCCAGGCTAGCGGGTCTCATCCCTGCCACACACCTTCCCTGCACACCTCCTTCTCTGTGCTCAGCTTATGGCTAGGTGCTCCTGTAACTTTGCTCAATCTCTTTCCTCTTTCTGAAATGCCTTTCTGCTCATTCTCTGCCTGCTGATGTGCTGTGAATCCTTTCAGGTCTGTGTCAAAAGTCACTTCTTCTGAGGCCTCACTCGCCTCAGTCCATCTCTGCTTTCCCACGCTCCGGGGACCACAATTCCTCTCACCTGTTTCCATGACACTTCACAACTGAATGATCACATTTCCATGTTAGGCTTTAGAGTTGAACATTTCTGGGATCCAGGACCACTATATTCAAGTCCTGTAACCTTGGAAAATTTACTTACTCTCATGTGCAAATGAGGCAGCTACTACTTATTTCCCAGTGCTGTTTTGTTACTGCATCCAAAGTGGCTGGTTCCTGTGCTAAATAACTGTTAGTTCTCTCCATTTATTTTCATTTCTGGAAAACCATAGCATGCTTACATTATAATTCATTGTGTACCTGTGTCCCTGCCATGGCGTACTGTGAGCACATTGAAAATCAGAGACCATTGGGTATTTTTCTCTGTATCTCCATAACAAGGCCGTCAGCTGCCTAACAAAACTTTGGTGAATAAAGGAAAGAAAGAATAAATCAAACTTTAGTTTCTGACAATATAGTAGATGAGACGATCTGACTGTCCTGACAGAAACAAGAATTTTTTTTTAATTTATGGAAGTATCACAGAACTGATATAAAAAGAAAGCATCTACATTCCTGCAGCAACAGGACTCCTGGGAAGTGAGTGAGTGCCAAAGCTACTTTTGCCCTGAGGGTTGTTACTGAGCTCTGAGTCCCCTGAGCTCCTGTTCTGACTGCACGGCATGCAGAGTACAGGGGCTGCACCCCAGGGCCTGCCCAGAGTGAGTTTATAATAGGAGACTGTATAAAGTTGGGACCCCAAAGGATTACATCCACCCTTTAAGAGTAAGCAAGACTGTGCCAATAGATAACATGACTGTGTTGTGTACTCATAAATGTGTTACAATGGTAGCTCTCATGTGTTCTTACCACAATGAAAGAATTTTTCATTTAAAAAAAGATATGGTGGGGGAGACATATCTGATGAGGTGAATGAGAAAGCACAGAGGTAGCATTAATTTAAAAACCATGCCTTACGGTGTGAAGTGATGGAATTATTTGAGTATAGGGGGAAGTGGAAGAGAGGAAAATAAGTTGAAGTAAATAAGAGTTAAACAAGAGCCCTGAATATGAGGCTAAAAGCCCTTTTCATACAATTACATGTGTCCAGGGAGAATCTCCGTGAGTTCGGGGATTATGCCATGATGAAAACAGCTGAAGAAGATTTTTCTGAGTAATCCAAACATTCCGCTTAGTCAAAGAGGGCTGCTGAACCCATTAATAAATTTTTGTAATACTTATGATGAGCAGCACAAAATGCTTAGTTAAGGAGAGTAGTTATAAAACAGAAAAGTTTGAAAAAAAATACAAGTGAGTGTTTTTTAATATTCCTATTCAAGTAACCCTCTTTTGAAAAAAAATGTATTTCTGCTCTGATTGAAAAAAATAAAAAGAATTTCTAAAGTATGTACTTCAGGCAGAAGGAAAATAATCCCACATAGAGAATTCTGGATGCAAGAAAGAAAGCTGAGCAAATTATTCACCAAATAAAAAAAATATTAGTGCCAATATTGACATTAATAGCCATAACAAAGAATAAAAGGCATACCAAGTAGAAGATACTTGATTTAGAACAAAGGACTAAATCAAAGGACTCATATATGAAATATATATATGTGTGTATATATATATATTCTATAAATATCTTTGTATCCAGAAAATATAAAATGAAAATATTTTATATTTCTATAAACATCCTGTATCCAGAATATATAAAATAGAAATCAATCACAGAGGTTATCCAAAAGGCAAGTACACTATATACAGCTGTTCAAGTCTCAAGGAAATGCAAATAAAACCTACAGTACAATAACACTACATGCCCAGCAAAATAGTTAAAATTTAAAAAGACTATATCAAGTATTAGTGAAGTTGTGGAACAACCTGAACTCTCCTCCGTTGTTGAGAGTATAAACTGGAATAATCATGTTGGAAAACTGTTCAGCAGTGTCTGTTAAAATCCAATATATGTATATCCTATGATATAGCAATTCCATACCTATTCTTATACCCAATAGACACATGTTTACCAAGACATATACAGAATATTCATACAACTTTTTTTAAATAGCCTTACACTGGAAACAGTTCATATGTCCATCAAAAGTAGAATGGAAAAGTAAATTATAATATATTCACACAATAGAATAGTTATAGGAATGAACAAATTACAACTATACCCAACAATATAGATGACTCTCACAAACATAATATTTAATGAAATGTGACACACCAAAGAGGACATTTGAAATGATTCCATTAATATAAAGTTCAAAATATGCAGTATTCGCCTCTAGTATTAGAAATGAGGAGAGTGGTTCCCTTGTGGGAGGGAATAGTGACTAGAAGAGAGCACAAGAAGGCACTGTGGGACACTGGCACTTATTGCTTTTTTATTTGTTTTATGTGTGTTGAATGAATGAATATATTGAATTTGGGACAATTTGTTGAGCTTATGAGTTGTGCCCTTTCCTGTATATTATACTTTAATTAAATTTTAAAACATGGTAGGGTAACTGTTAAAAGATAGGCACAACACACATACCTTCCAAACAAAACAAAACAAAGAAAGAAAAAAGGAACAAAATGAAGAAAAGAGAAGAAATCTCAATCAAGAAAGAGGAAAATGAGGGATGGAGGGGAGGGAAATAGAACAAATATAAGGTATGTAATAAGATAGTAGATATAAATCTACATATATAAAAGTCTAAGCGACCATTATAACCAGTGGACCAAACAACCAGTTGACCAGTTGCTATGATGCGCACTGACCACCAGGGGGCAGATGCTCAATGCAGGAACTGCCCCCTGGTGGTCAGTGCACTCCCACAGCCAACCTCCCATGGCTGGCCAACCTCCCACGGTCCCTCTCCCCAGCCTATGGGCCCCGATCGCCCTGATTGATTGTCAGCCAGGCCAAGGGACCCCACCCGTGCACAAATTCGTGCACTGGGCCTCTAGTTTTAAAATATTGGCAGACACTATAAATTTAATACACAAAAGTCTCTTGTTAGAAGATATATGCATTGAAGCTATTCATTTTTTTTTTTTTAATTTGAGCACCTTTTATGTGCCAGCACTGTTCTAGGAGCTGAGGGTATAACGGTACACAAAACAGACAAATATTCCCATCTTCATGGAGGTTACATTCTTAGCAGAGGAGACAGATAATATATAAACAATAAAATAGCCACTGTGTGGAATGGTAGTAAACGTAATGAGGAGGAGGGAAATAAAGCAAGGAAAGAGAATTAGGGAAGTATTAGAAGTTGTAATTTTTAAAGTGCTCATGGACAACCTCAAAGATCTTAAGCAGATGAGGAAGTGAGCCATATGTGTACCTAGGGTAAAAATGTTCTGGTGAGAGGGGGAAAGTAGCGGTACTACACTGAAGCAGAAGCCATTAGCTGTGTTGGTGGCAAGAGGCCAGTATGACCAGCAGAGTGACTGAAGGAGTGTGGAGTTGGAGATGAGGTCAGAGAAAACAAGGGACTTTTCTAGACTATGGCAAGAACCTTGGCATTTAAATGAGATTTTTAAAAAACCAATGGAAGGTTTAGAGCACACAAATGGAGTTATCACACTTGTATCTTAAAGAACCATCCTGGCTTCTGTCTTGAAAACAGAAGGTGGGATAAATCAGGGGACCTGTCAGGAGTTTGTTGCAGTAAGTAAGCTGAGAAATGACGGTAGCTTGGAGGAGGGTGCCATAGCAGAATCGCTGAGATGTGTTTAGATTCAAGATGTAATGTGAAAGTAGAGCTGTGGGTTGGAGGTGGGATATGAGAGAGAAAGGAGGTGAGGATGTCTGCAAGGGTTTGGACCAGAGCAACTGGAAGGATGGAATTGCCACTTTTTATTGAGTTGGGGCAGATTTCAGGCAGAGCAGATTTGCAGAGAGAAGTCATGAGTTTGGTTTTGGAATGCAATATGCTTAGACAAGCAAATGGAAATGGTGTATCTAGATGGAGTATCTAGCATTCATCAGAGATGTCTAAGTTAGAGCTGTAACTTTGGGAGTTGTCTGTTTCTGAAAATGAAGTCACAAACATTTACAGTTGACTCTGCCAAAAAGAAGAATTAAGAAAGAAAAAGAAAGAAAAAAATGTCCAAACTAAGAATTAAGCAACTTTGTGTTCAGCATCTTTGTTTTGTTTTGGAGAAATTCACTGCTCACTCCTTAAGAAAAAGCAAGACCTTATGCCTCTGGGAGCTGACTTCATGGAGATAGTTTGGGGCCTATGTGCTAACTGACTTCTTGTCAGAGGATAAAATCTTGTTACTGGGTTCATTTAATTAATAGACACAATTCAATTTGCTTATTGTTTATTTTGCAGATATATTACTACTTATTTCTGATTAATAGTTCATGTTTGAAAATGATTCTGAATCACCCATACTCTAAATATTAACCTATGCCAGCTGATAAAAAGGAGGAAGTTTTATGGTTATGACAAAATTACAGCCCTGCGAAAAAAAGCAGTACCTGCTTTTAACAGGCTAGGTGCTTGTGCTAACACCCCAGTACATTTTCCACCTGGCAGACCATCTTCTGGCTGATTCCAACATTAATGAATATTAAATGTTGACATGCATTTAGTCAACTTGTCTAAGAAATTTTACTTTAAGGGGGAAAAAATGCACAAAAGTAGATAAGCTCATTTAGGTGGAGGAAGGAGCCCCAGGGACATACCCTAGAGGACTTCTGCCTTTGAGGTCAGAGATTAGAGCAAGAACCATCAAAGAAGAGGGAGGAGTTGCTGGTTCACTAGGGAACTAGCCTCCTTCATAAAAATGCGTCAATCCTTGACACAATCACGTAAGCATAGGTGCTATTGATCATTATCCCAACTTTAGAGACTCATAGCTGAGCTTCTGCAAGGAGAAGTGGTTTGCAAAGGGTCCTAGAGACCAAGATGGTAAACCATTTTAGTGCATGCAGTTTGCCTTCTCCTATTCTTGCCTCCACTGCCAGTGAGGGGTGTGAGTGCATTTATGATAGTGCTCGTTCTCCCGGGGTTTCTCTGTTTTCCTTGCAGGTGGGTATGTGGAGGCCTTGGAGGTGACTAAAGAAGCACCAGGCCAAGGGGCCTTTAGGCCACAATCCATCTCAGAAGAGACCTACGATGATGTTGAGTGCCCTGGGAGGAAGGAGTAAGTGCACCCCAGCCCCTCAGCAGTGTGGTGAGACCTTAAAGGCTCCACGGGACAGATGAATGGTCTTTGTTTCTTTTCTCCCCACAGATCAAAGTCGGACTTCTCCAACTCATTTGCCTCAGATAGTGGTAAGGAAGGAAGACATTTCTGAAACCGCCAGTAGCAACTGCTGTGTGCTCGGTGGCTGATTAATAATAACTTATCTTTTGTTTATATTTTAATAATACCAGTTGGGTGGGTGACAGGGAGCTCAGGGCAGTGCAGTGGGCCTGGGTATGTGTGAATAAATGCACTGAGATCTGTGAAGGTGAAGGTGCTGGTAATGGGGATCTTGCGGCAAATAAGCAACATTGCTGTGAAATGGCTTCCTTCCTGATCTCTTCACAACGGAAGTCTGATTGTAGGAATGTTTTTACGTAAAACACTTTCACAGCTTCCCAGGACTTTTACGGTCCACCTTAACATGGTCTGAAGGCCTTGAGTGGGTTGCTTCTACCTCCCTCTGCAGCCTGTGTTCTCCCTTGGTACTCTCTTCATCTCTGAGATCCAGTCATGCTGACGTTTTAGCTCCTCCGACTTGCCAGGCTCCCAAGCTCCCACCAAGCTCCTGCCCCAGGGTGTTTGCATATGCTACTCCCTCTTTCTGGAATTTTCTTTCCTCCCCCTGGACCCCTTTGCCTAAGTGACTCTTGACCTTTCTTCTCATTTCAGCTCAATCATTACTCCCCCAGTGAACACTCTCCTTTGTGTACAATCTCAGAGTAACAAGGCTCTCTTTTTCATAGCACCTGTCACTTATAATTTTTTTAAGGTATTTTATTGATTTTTTTACAGAGAGGAAGGGAGAGGGATAGAGAGTTAGAAACATCGATGAGAGAGAAACATCGATCAGCTGCCCCCTGCACACTCCCTTTCTGGGGATGTGCCCACAACCAAGGCACATGCCCTTGACCGGAATCGAACTTGGGACCCTTGAGTCCACAGGCCAATGCTCTATCCACTGAGCCAAACCAGTTAGGACTGTCACTTATAATTTTATATTTATATGATTTCTTTGATTAATGACTCTCTTCCCTTAGCCCCTAGCACAATGCCAGGTACTTGTTATTTAAATATTTTTTGAATGAATGAACGAAAGGTGCTACTCTGGTTGTTTTTTATCCTTCTTAGAATGTCAGGATTTTAGATGGAGAAACCATCTTAGAAGTCATTAAACAGAGACGTTCAATAGCTCCCCTAAACTCACTGTGTGAAGTCGAGTTCTGAACGTGAAATTCTCCATTGTCAAGGTGGATTCAAAGATTATCTGTATATATTAAGCTTTTGTGTTACGCCATGCTGTGAAGGGAAAGAATATCCAAGATGAATTAATTCTCCATTATTTCTCCAGAATTCAACACAATGTCTGATGTGTAGGCTCTGATTGCTACATGTTAAATATGCCAAAGGGGAGGGTAGAAGAAAGGAATCTGTTGATAAACCAACTTTCATTGACTTGGACTCAGGGGTGGAAGCGAATATTAATTTTCATTTGTATATACTACTTTTATAAGGTTTAATTATTTTTACCATTTGCTTATAAAAATATGTACATATGTTTCAATAAAAATTATTTAACAAACAAACAAAAGATCAAAGTACCTCAGCACCTGGTCAATATCCAATAATGTCTTGCTAAATATGAATCTGAGCTATTGTCATTATAATGAATGAATTTTTTTAATTTCAGAAGAAAATAGTAATGAAATGTATGAAGATGTATACAAAACAAAGAGCAACTCCACAAACATAGAGTGAGTTTCTCTCTTTCTTGGCTTCCTACCTAATGACATGTCCTGCTAGCTTAGGATGATGAGCTTAGGAAGTAACTCCCTTCCCCATCCCTACCATCTTTAGGGAGGATTTGCACAGAGAATGGAGGTAAATAGAACACCCGTAATTGTACACAATCACATGGTATGAATTTCAAATTACATTGCTTTCTCTTTTGAGAAAATGTCCATCTCCCAGAGTAGGGACTTTGATATTGTGTTAGAAAATAAGTGAGAGATAAGTAAATGTCAACAAAAATTTGCTTCCATTCCATGGTTTTCAAGAACAATATTTGTTCAAGTGGGCAATGTTTGTCAAGTTTAGTTATCAGGGGCACGTTGTGGAAAGGAAAACAGCAATGGTCAAAAGCAAGAAGTTTGAGGGTTGAAGGAAAAAAAGAGGATCCATGCTGGGTGGAATGACCTGCATGTATCATTCCCTCTCCCTACCCCCAAAAAACCCAAGAGCATATTTGAAAAAACTTTATTCATCAGCTGGGTTGTCAGTTATTGTTGTATGATATCATTTGGTAAATTAAAAATCAGTGATGTGAATTTTAGAAACAGGAATTTCTATAAGTTATTTCTAGTATAGTTTGTAAACCATGCTTCCCTGAGTCATCTTCTCTAAAAGGAAGACTTTGCTCCATAAACTGCAAAATAGAGACCATTTAGGGTAAACAAACGTTTGTATTGAAATGTAATAATTCCCTTCATGGCTGACTGGCTTGTGCTACTTCATATTGGCACCAAAACAGAGAACAGAAAAGTTGGTTAGGCATTTTCCTGCTCTTCCCTGGGTGGGTGTTCCAAGCCTCTGGCCCTTTTCCTACACCAGCCTTCCATTTCTAGTACTCTCTCAAACACTGTTTCTACCCTCTGATTCCTCTTAGTTTGGATGGCAAAACACTTAAGAGACTACAGAGATTCTTCAAGAAAGAAAAGGATAGATTTAAGATGAAGACAACCAAATTGAAAGAAAATGTAAGGTAAAAAAAACCCTCTTCTATTTCTCTTTCCAGGAGACAGTTGGCAGTGCCGGTCTCATAGTCAGTCACACAGCCGGATGGTCTCCATCCTGCTCTCAGACACAGTGGGGAGCGTACCAGAAAGTAAAACCAAAGGCCCTGGCTATCACTTGCCTTCTTCTTGCCCATTTTTGAGTGCACCACACTCACAGATGCTAATGGAAAAAAAAATGACAAAGTCCCTTTTGAAAAAATTGATGAGAAAAGGTTATATGTACTCAAGGTAGAGGGAAGTCTTAAGCAAAATCCGGAAAGGAAGCTGACCTCATCACCCTTGGCATATACTCCTGGTATCAGTAAGCATTATGCTATTAATTACAACCCTTTTTGCATTCTTATTCCATCAAGTTCCAGTGGTTTTTATTTGTCTACACTTTGTAATCCAATTTGCCTCTCTTGAGAAAGGCAATGTGTGGAGAGGGAAGATGAACTTTTCAGCTGAATGGTCCATCTCTCTCCAAGTCTTAGGCCTGGAAAGGACCCTCCAAGGTCACCCGCTAATGACCAATGTTTGGGAGGGATACATTTTCACTGGTAATAGGAAGAGATGGAGGCCTAGAGTCTGGATTCTGGTTTCAGCTCTTCCATTTATTCAATGTGTAACTGGGCAATTCACTTTGTGTTTGCACCCATACAGCCTGTTTCCTATTGCATACAGTGAAAGGGAGACCGTGTAGTCTCTGGAGGCACTTCTCTCCCTCATCTAGACAGATAGGTGTATAGATATACATGCAGCTCTGTATTGTACGAGGACAGGAAATGGTAAAATAATTTGCCCAAGGTCATTACAAATACTGACATGGAATTATGTTATTCTACCTTGAAGTGCTTTTCAATGATAAAGCCTCCAAGTTACGCAGCTTTAAGTCTAATTGTCTGTTAGGTATAGATCGGCCAAGAGATCCAATAGTGACCACTTATACCCCAATAGAATGCAGGGTTTATGAATCGCAGTCCTGGCTGTGGAGAAAGAGGTCGTTTGGCTCCAGCAGTCAATGAGACCTAGAGGCAGACTCTGGCACTAGCCGGTTAGATGCTTCCAACAAAGATGATTAGCATGACACCCGCAGTCCCTTATAAATAGGACCCAGTGAGAACGCTCTCTGACTTCCACTCCAACCTGCACGTCCCAGTGCTGACAGCACCCAGTCTGGTCTTACAGACACGCCAGCAGGATCACTGAGCGTCCATGTGTCCTGGGCACAACTGCTAGGTATGCTCATCCTTACAGAAGTATCTCGGTAAGATAAGCTAGGCATTGGGATTCACTTTAGAAATGAAGACACTGAGGCTTATATGAAGGTGAACTGATTTTCCCAAAAGTGCTGTTCCTTTGGATATTTCTTTATCACGTGTTTTTTTCACACAATGTCACATTAATTTATGTTTTCTCTCCCTCACTAAATCCCAAGCTACTTCAGGACAGAAACTGTGTCTAATCACGTTACATACCCAGCACCTGGGCCTGTAGGGCTGAACTTAAATAATTGCTTAAAATACATGGATTTTTTTTCTACCACATCATATTTCCTTCCATGTGATCCTAACTGAGAGATTTAAGGAGAAGCCAACCATCTGTCTGGGCCAAATGCCCTGACCCACTTAGCAGTTTACCATCTTCCAGCTCCACCTGGCCTGGAATTCTGCCCTCATCCCTTTGGCTTATGCATAGACATAGGCAGGGCCCAGTGTCTCCAGAGAGCTGTGTGCATCTGATGGCCATCTTGGAAGTTTAGAAGGCAGAAACAGAATCCTGGATGGAGAAGGGCAGGGCCGTGGGGCAGCCTGAAGCTGTCTGGTAGGAAAGGGTATAAGTGGTCACTTGGGATAAATAAGCTCATCGAAAAAGTGGGGAGAGGGTCAGAACACAGATGCAGGGAAGGTAAGCTCTGCCCGCATCTTTGACTAGACACATCAGTATCAAGAAACCTAGTCATCACTGTGCTATCCTGAACATGGCTTTCTTTCCTAACCCTTCTGTGCCTTTTGTCCATAACAGTGCGTTTTCCATTTCGCTGCCGGATTTAGGTAAGTGACATTTACTTATTTCTGGCACAAAACCACACAGATTGGCGTAGTCCGGGGCCGGGAAAGAGAAGCAGTCACCCTGCCTGCATTCCACATTTAATGAAAAATTGACACATCCAAGTCAAAGAACAAATTTTACACAACAGTAGTTCTGACTTTGGGGAAGATGAGTATCATTTCTCAAATGCCTACTATATCCCAGGCCTCTTAAAATCCCAGAAAAAAAAAGTTATTATCATCTCTTTTTAGGGAGGCTCTAGGATCCACATCTCTACTTTAGTGATCTGGAATTTGTACTCAGGTCTCTTGGATTATGAAGCTTTTGCATTTGAATTATACCACACAGCCACCTGAAGGTTTGATAGCCAGATCTCCCTAATCACAATGTAGTAAGTTGAGCACGATCATGTTGTGGCACACACACTAACTGAATCAAGGCTGGGTTGTTGCAATATTGTTTGCTTTGCTGTAAAAACAATAGTGCACAAATTAGCACAGTGCCTTGCACCCAGTAGGCTCTCAACACATGTCCCGTTAAGTTTAATCTGTTATTAAAAGAGGGCCATGTCTTCTGTTGGATTTTGTGGGCTCTAGCCATGGTGGCTGCTTTAATTTCACTCTGACTTGGCAATTCAAATATATATTATAGTCCACATATGAGTTTGCTGAACAAAATTTTAAAAGATTATATACACCTGGTCAAACTACAGGTCTCCCAAAATATCTATGTTAAAAAAAAGGCCAACTTAGAATAAACATGCATTGTACCCCATCCAAATTTATGAGTAATTGAATGTGAATTATAAATAATTATGCCAGAAAATTTTCAAATTTGCTCAGGTGGTGAATCACTTGAACATTATGGGTTTCTATGTAGAGCACCAAGGAATGTGAATATCCTAAAATAAACATGTCTAATTATGACTATGTACTAAGTCAGATTCCATTTTATGCACAATTGTTATAAAGGATCAGTTGCCAATGATTTGAAATAAAAATTGTGGGAGGGAAAATCAACATTAATATTCTATTAAACTTGTATTTTTCCTTAGGAATTAAGAAAAAGCCTCTCACTATTCTAGCAGTTATAACATCTTTTTTAAAAAGTTAATTCCAAAGAGGGAAGAAGGGGTTAGGGGGCGGGGAGAGAGACAGACAGACAGACAGACAGACAGACATCGATGTGAGAGAGATACAGCAATTGGTGCCTCCCAGACCTGCCCTGACTGGGGATCAAACCCACAACCTAGGTATGTGCCCTGACCAGGATCAAACCTGCAACCTTCCGGTGCACGGGATGATGCTCCAACTGAGCCACACAGGCCAGGACTCAGTATAACATCTTTATCCAGGTCTAGGATGATGGAAACCTAGTTTAAAACTGATCCTTTCAGCAACTCACATATCTGGAATCAAATTAATCTAAATATGTGTGTGTGCACATTTGAGATAATAGGGCATCTGTGTGGTTTTTTTTTTAATACTTCAGTTGAATCTCTTCCCAAATGAGAACTTTCTCGTTCTTTGATCCATTCAGCCTATCTGTATTCTGTGATCAGGTTTTGATAAAAGAGGCTTGGGGATGTGCCTGGATAATTAGGTAATTGTGTGCAATTTGAGAAGCCAGGGTTGTATAAACCCTACCTAATAATGGACTGTTCTGATCCTATCTTGATTCTAGAACTTAGGTCTCAGGAAGTTATTATGCATGCTGACGTGACCATCAATGAAAAAGAGTCAAAGTAAGTCCGTTTACCTTCTGTCCATCCCTGGTATTTAACCCACGTCCTGGTGTCTTGTTGCATACGCATCTTTGGGTCTTGGATGAAAAGCAACTTGTTACATCCCCCCAATGAGAAGGGAAAACAATAAATAACATAGATGCTCTAACAGTGGAAGGTGACTCAAATGTCACTGGAGCTTTAGAACCTGTTTCTTATCCTTGAATCTAGGGACTTGAACTTATTTCAATGCAACAAACATTAGTTTAATCATCTGTGGACAAGGCAACAGGGGAGATAGGAGGTACCATCTGACAAAACCTCTGTTCTCAAAGACTAAATAATTATAACCTATCGAAAAGAAAGCTTCCCAAAACTCGACTCCCCCTCTAGCTACATATCCATCCTTTCCCTCTAAACTGAAGTCTCCTCTGCTCATCCCTTCAAGCTCACAGCAATGACCTCTGTGCCGGTCACACCGGTGCAGTTATTTTTGGTAAGGCCACTAATAATTCTTTGTTACAGCTAGCACAGACTGTTAAATCCTTAGCTTTCTTGATTTCACTATAATATCTTAAACTGTTGACTATGGCATCCTTTAAAGGAAAAAAAATACTTTTCCCCAGGTTTCCAGATTATTAATATTTCTTATTTCTCATCTTTGGCTGTGGGTCCTCCTGCTTGTTTTTGGCTTTGTGTGGGTGTTGTGTGAGTTCTAATTCTGCTGTTCAACTCTTCCTATTTCACTTCTATTCTTCCTTTGTATGTTCTTGAATGATCTCATCCACACTAGGGCTTTGATAGTAATCACTATGGTAATGATACCAAAATTTACATGTGGAGGTTGGATTTCTCTCCTCCACTCTAATAGGCCTGCTAACTCTGTTTGAAACTCAGAATTTTGTAATAACTCATAACCTCAACCCTTCACCCAAATATGGTCTTTTTCTTCTAATCTTTATGTTGTTGACTGTTTCAGTTGCCCAAACCAAAATTCTAGGCATTGTCCTTAACTCCTCCTCTCCTGCCCTGCACCCTCTTCTCTTCCAATAATTCTCCAAACACTCCCACATCCCCGTCCCCTCTGCCCATCCACAACGCAGGCCCTCACTGGTTCTCAGTTGGATTCCAACAACTTTCTGAATGACCATCTCGCCTCCACTGCAGTTTATTCTCCAAACTTTCCGACATGCAAATGTGATCATGTCACAAAACCAACCACCCAGCAGCTTGAATTCAGATTTCCCCAGCAAGTCCTCTCTGACCTTGTCAATTTAGGATAGATACCCCTCCTTAACCAGAACATTTTCCTCGGAGTTGTAATGGTCTTATTTCTTGCTTGTCCCCTCCTCTAAATGAAAGCTCCCTAAGGAAGGGACTGTGGCTTTCCAATCTACATCATGTGTCCTTATACCAAAACAGTTGGTTAATTCAGGTAACAAGGGACCTCCTTTAAAAAAAATGAGCAAAATAATCTGGAAGCTCAGAATAGGTACCATTTCCATTATTTCGGGGATCAGGACAGTCTCTGTGCCAAGGTGAAGCAGAAGGATATGTAACACTTTGACAGGTGGGGGAACTATGTAACTAGAAAACAGGTTTTTGGCAAGCTTGTTGCTTCTGATGAACACAAATGCTTAATTTTAATGTGTTTGAATTTATCAATTTACCCTTTATGACTGCTGCTGTATCTCTTAAAGAAGTATTTATCCCAAGGTCATATGATGTTCTCCCTTATCTTCTAAAACAGCTCTATCTTTTACACTGTCTGGAATGGATTTTTGTATGTATAGGGAAGTAGAGGTCTAATTGAATTTTCTTCCATGTGAATAAATGTCCTGGCAGGGTTGAGTGGTCCCTATTTTCTCATTGACCTACAGCACCACCTTTGTCATACCAAGTATCCAATATCTGAAGACCTGTTTCCATGTTCTCTGATCCATTCTGGTGTCGTATCTATCTTCAGCACATCATGGTCTGAGAAAGTAGTTGATATAAGTACCTTAACATGTTCTGAGACATGACTTATGCCAAGTATATGGTCAATTATTATAAATGTTCTATGTGCATGTTAGAAATATATGACTTTTCTCTATTTTTTGAGTTCTCTAATTTTTTGATACAGGGATCAATTTATGTACTTTAAATCGAGTATGTGTTAATTTTCTTATTAAAAATCTTCCATAAATTTATGACTTTTTAGATGCTTGATTCATCAACATTTGAAAGAAATTGGTTGAAATCTCACACAAGGATGGCAAATTTCTGTTTCTTCCAAAAGTTCTAGCATTTGTTGCCTTATATATTCTATTTTATTAATTGCATACAAAATTTGAAATATATTCTAGTAAATTGAATGTTTCTTCATTATGTTGTAACCATTTCTATCTCTAATACTATTAACAAAAATATGTATATAGCTCTTACTGTGGGTTAGTCACTGTTTCATATATTTAATATACATTAACTCATTCAGTCTCACAACAATCCTGTGAAGTAGACACTATTATTAAACAAATTTTATAGAAGAGAGACTGAGGCACAGGTTAAGCACCTGCCCAGGCTCACCCAGCTAGTGTTCTCCACTACTGTCTCCTAGAGATTCTCTGTCTTGAAGTGATGTGCTCAATATTATATGTCTACTGATATTTTCATTCGTATTTCCCTAGTATAGATATTTGATCTTATGTTTTCCATATTCACATTCATGTCTCTCATATAAATAACATAGAACTGAATTTGGCTTTTTTAAAAATCCAGTATGACCCAACTGGTGTTGCCCAGTGGTTGAGTGTTCACCCATGAACCAAGAGGTCCCCAGTTCAATTCCTGGTCATGGTACATGCCCAGGTTGTGAACTGGTGTGCAGGAGGCAGGTGATCGATGTGTCTCTCTCATCGGTGTTTCTATATCTCTATCCCTCTCCCTTCCCCTCTCTCTAAAATAAAAAACATATTTTTAAAAAATCCAATATGATCATCTGTCTTATCTCCTACCTTGTCCTTGACCTAAATTTCAGTCTTCTCAAATGCGGTGGGGCTGACACTAGCGCTTTCCTCAGGACAGACTTGCCTTCTATGCTTGCATGCTGCTTACTGCTCTTTGTCTGGTTTCAGCTGATTTGTGGGGCTGTTAGGATACTAGGTATAGTCCTTAGCAATTTAAGACAAAACGAGACCAAAAAAAACATTATCCAGGATCCAGCGTTCTGAATTTGGAGGGCCCTTCTCCTGCTCTCTGCCACCAAATGAGGACGTGCAGAACTCTGAGCAGGAGGACAATACAGTCAGAGCTGCCTTTCAGGGAGTAACCCAGCCCTCCACAGAACACTGCAGAGGAAGTCGGAGTAGAACATATGTTAGCATGTCATTACCTAGGTCAGTGGTTGGCAAACTGCGACTTGCGAGCCACACGCGGCTCTTTGGCCCCTTGAGTGTGGCCACGAAGTTTCAATCGCACTGTACGTGCGCGCCCACACATGGTATTTTGTGGAAGAGCCACACTCAAGGGGCAGCAGTTTGCTGACCACTGACCTAGGTCATTTCAGGGAAAGCTGTGGGACCAAAGCCAGGAGCTCATAACGCTGTGACCTGCTTGAAGTTCTCCATAGGATATAAGAGACACTCTGTAGTGCTGTGCTACTGATATCAATGACTGGTGATGTGGGAAAGTAAATAAATAAATGTTTCCCAAATTAAAAAAAAAGGTATCATTACAATCACTCAGGTGAAAGATGATCAAAAAGTGCCATAGGGTGGTGAAAGAAATGAAGAAGTTATTTCAGAGAACTTAAGTGAAATTTATTAAATTGTTAATTCCTCTGGTGGAAACCATATCTTCATCTCCATTACCAAGCTCTTCATATAGCACTTAAGGCATGGTAGGTACATGAGGAATATTTCATAAACAAATGATATTGATCAAATCGCTTAGACCCAACAGAGTCTGACCGATGTTCATGTGACAGTAAATCTTCCATGTGGCCTCAGAGAAACCAATTATAAAAGGCATCTGTAGCAGACAGGACACTGATGGAGAGAGAGTAGCAGAATGTGGAAGGAGAAGAGCGAGGGATGATGGTATTTGAGCTCTTGTAAGCTTGGCTAGTTTGCATGTCATGTCCTGGTGGGTATTTGGTTGAGGAGTACCCCAAAGCACTCTGGATTAAATTGTCGCTAGCTAGGTAACCCAGACCTCTGCTTTATGTCTTGTTGCCTTTTGTTCATCAGAATATCTTCTAGGGAGTCAGCAAGAGAAGGGACAGGGGAACTTGAAAAGGAGGCTGGCACAGCCTCTGCGGCCTGGCACCAGTGGGACCTGGGCCTGTCATCTTACTTCTCTGAACCTGAGTTTCCTAACCTGTGATGTGGCAATAGCAGTTCTTACCCTGCCAAGTTCATTAAGCTTTCTAATTTGATCCCTAGAAAAGCAAAAATAAGTTGACAAGGAAGCAAAGAGTTGACCATAACATCCAAATGGTTAGCATGGGTATAAAATGATGTGATCTTTCTAGAAGATAATTTGGCAATGTATATCTGAAATGCCCAGACCCTTTACTTAACCTAGTAATTTTACTGCAAGCAACTAGCTCTATTTAAGAAAAAATAACCATAAAGAATAAATTATGCACAAAAATATCGGTGTCAGGGTTGTTTATAAAAATGAGATGTTTAAAACCACCCAAATAGCCAATGATTTTATAATTATACTAGAGGCCCAGTGCACCAGTGGGGTCCCTTGGCTTGGCCTGTGCCCTCGCACAATCTGGGACCCCTCGGGGGATGTCGGAGAGCCGGTTTTGGCCTGATCCCTGCAGACCAGGCTGAGGGACCCCACCAGTGCATGAATCCATACACGGGCCTCTAGTATGCATATAAGATCTTTGGTTAATCTCTTCCCACCCTCCCCCCTTCCCTCTGAGATTCATCAGTCTGTACCATGTTTCCATGCCTGTGGTTTCTGCTCTTGTGTTGAGCATCTGCCCCCTGGTGGTCACTGCACATCATATCTACCGGCCAGTCAGCCTGTCGCTTAGGCTTTTATATATATAGGTTATAGCAGGGGTCCTCAAACTACGGCCAGCGGGCCACATGCAAATACAAATATTGTACTTGTTCCCGTTTTGTTTTTTTACTTCAAAATAAGATATGTGCAGTGTGCATAGGAATTTGTTCATAGTTTTTTTTTAAACTATAGTCCGGCCCTCCAACGGTCTGAGGGACAGTGAACTGGCCCCCTGTTTAAAAAGTTTGAGGACCCCTGGGTTATAGTATAGTACTCTATATAAACATTAACATATGTATTAAATATATACTAAATAGTTTTCAATGACATGGAGAAATGTTTGCACTATGACAACTGAAAAATAGCAGAATGAAAAATTGTATGTATTGGATTGATCTCCATTCAGTTTCTGAAAGGGTTTGGAAAATGTTTGGAAGGAAACTTAGATGTCCATGAAAGGTCAGATAATGCTTATATTGTCTCTTTTCTACTTCTGCTTCGTTATTTAAATACTCAGAATATATTGCTTTATAATCAGTAAAGAAAATAAGCTTTTAAGTAGGCATTTGCCTTGCCCCTTCCCTGCCCTCACAGCTGTAGCCCCTTCCAAACAGCCATGCCCATTCTCACTGAGCATCGCTGTATGCCTGGCATAGACACACTGGAATATATAGTTGGATCCCATTTTCTGGGAACCTGAAGTGGAGAGATGAAACAACTGGCCATTAGACAGAAAGCAGTGATTACTGAGCTCCATGTTGTAGACTTCAAAGGCAACAAATGTTGAGAGGAGAGAAGGATTGAAGCTCCCTCCACAAGTCCTGGAAGGCTTCTTAAAAGACTTTCTAAGCTGCATCTCCCTAGCTGGTCAAATGCTGAGTCCTTGACATGCTGTTGGACACCTGTGACCATACTCTGAAGGGAAGGGTGACACAAAGTCTCTGAAAATCTCCAAGATTCCTGTGACATAATACCCTGTGCTTCTAATTTACCGGATGAAGAGTTATTTAAGGTTCAGATGTGCAGATACCAGATGGTTGACGGAGCAGGGTCCTGTTCTGCTCATAACAATGATGGAGATGCTGGTAATTTTGTCATACCAGAAAGGAAAAAAAAACAGGTTTTGAAGCAGCAGGTATGCCATAGACTTGAGGCAAAGGCACCTGGGTTCAAAGCCATTATTTCTGTGACCATGATATTCTCTGATCACTATTTCCTCCTCTGTAACCCTTTATGAATGACGACTTTAACGGATGCTTACTGTGACAAGTCAGTTAACATGTAAAAGCATAAGGCTTGGCACATAGGTTCTCAGAAAGTGTCAGTTCTTTCTACAATACCCCCTCCCTCCCTGATTCCTTCCCTGCTAATGCTAAGCACTAGTTGGATTAGTTTTTCTCATCATGGAAATTAATGTTATTATTCACGTTTTACTAGTAGAGGCACAGAAACTGAGACTCAGAAAGGAGAGAAAGTATGATTATAAGCAGGTTGATCGCTTGCTGCTGGTTTCCAATGTGGATTGCCACAGGTTAGCTCTCTGTGGTCTGTGGGCTAAATATAACTGGCCACTTGTTTTTTGTAAATACGGTCACACTGGCCCAATTAAGTGGTTACACCAGAGGTGTTAGGCCTTGCAAAACCTAAAATATCTGCTATCTGAGGTTGCCATAGAATCAAAATATACTTCTAGATAACTTTTAAATATTTTTTGTAAAACAATTACCCAGAAAGTACGGATGGTTCCATAACTGTTTTAGTTCCATCTTGATTGACTTGCTCAAAAATATTTTTCTCTTCAGGGATGAAGATAAAGTAAAAACTTGGAAGCCCAAGTTTTTTAAGCCAAAGGGGGAAAAAGAGAAGAAAGATGCTCAAGGATCAGAAAGGTAAGTGCACAGGTGTGCCTACTTTACAGCTTCTCCGCTCCAGGCTATTCCTCTCACCAGCTGCATACACTTAGGCAGTCAGGACATTTGATTTTCAGGTTCTTCATCTGCACAATGAGAATTGCAACACCTAAATGATGATACAGTTGAGGGGATTAGAAGAGACACAGAATATGAAAATGTAAAGAGCAGCACGCATTTATCTGCATCGTCTCTGCTTTTGGCGAATGGGAAGTGAGGAAAGATTTCAAACCAGCCCTTATCAAACAATGAAAACCTTCCAGTCTTCTTTAAGGCTGAAAAGATTTTCCCCCTATAAGACAAACCTTACATAATATACCAGTCTGAACATATATGAAACTCGGTGTCATAAGACTGACTTCCCTAAAACACAATATAATTCTAGTTATGTCTACATTAGTGTTAATTTACAAAAGACTGTTTTATCAATTCAAAATCTAACCTTCCCTCATGTGATTCAAGCTCCCAGTTGGATGCAGGGGGCCGCGGGGGAGGCAATGTTTTTCACTGTCTTGGGTGGTGACTTGGTGCTCAGTGCCCTAGCCTTCACCTCAGTTACTAGGAGATGGGGCAGCTCTGAGGCCCACTGTTTAACCAATGTCTTCGGGAAATCCTTGTCTAAATAGTCATTATGCTGGGAACACTGTGTGGTCTGTCTGCATTGGGAAACCTGTCTAGAAAAGTCCTACAAGGGGCACCCCAAAAGAAATAAGACATTAGCCTATGAAACTCAGAGGACAGCATACAATGACCCTTCCTTTATATTTATTTTCTTTGGGTTTAGACTTGATGTAATTTATTTTTCCCAAGTAGGAAAGATGTATTCACAGACTAGAAAGGACTTCCCACCTTCAACTTCATAGCATAGCAAAACAGAATTCCAAAAGAGGAAATAGAATTTCTTACTGCCCACCCCCCACAGACAGCTTCTTAGTATTTTAATGACTCCACATAAGTCTTTTTAGGAAACTGTTTTCTAGTGCTTTTTTAAATTCTTACAACAAACTGATATAATAGTTTTTATTCTCAACTGAGTAAATTTGAAAATGTGGTAAATTTTTAAATGCAGTATGTTGAGATTATCATTACTCCTGTAGATGGATGTATCAATTTCCATGTGCTCCTGACTCTTTTTAAAATAATTTCTACCAATTTATTCTACCAATAAAAAATGCTTTCTATGTTAGTACAATCTTTTCACTCTCCCTTTATTAATGTAAGATGGCACATTTTCAGAGACGCTGGGAAGGATGTGGCAGGTCTAAAGTCCTGGGTAGGATAGCTCACCTATAAGATGCCCCATGTGGACTTTGCATGTAGCAGGAACAGGGCAGCTGGAAGGCAGACTGTGGCCAGATTCTAAAGTGTCCTGTGTACCATGGGACTAGGACTTCATCTCTGAGGCAGTAAAGACAGATTCAAAGTTTTTAAGCAAGAGAGTGAGGCGGTCAATTAGATTTTAGAAAGATGACTGAAGACAGATCTGCAGGTAGATTCGCAGAAGGAAAGACAAGAGGGGGCATGGGAATGACTGTGCAAATAACCTTGAATATCAGATGAGAACTGCCATTGCCTAAAACATGGCAGACTGTGGAATGTAACATATAAGTAATGCTTCTGAATGAAACTGATAGAACCTGTTTCCCTCTGTCAGTACATTAAACAACTAAAATGCAGCACCAACCCCCAAATGAAGAGCAGGAGGGAGGAAAAGAAAGTAAAAGCATAGTCAGCCTCTACTGTAGGGTTATTCACTTTTATGTCCTGAAATTGTTGCATACATTTTGTGGCACCTTGCTTTATTTTCTTAATTCTGTCTTCTCCGTAATCATTCAGCAGACTGGAGAGGTCTCTGATTGATTCCCCAATTAGGTTTCAAAACTTGGAAAACCACAGTATGTGAGCCATTTATTCTAACTGGTTTCCATTAATCTGAGGATGAGTGGGAATATTTATAATGTTACATAAGTTTCTTCTTTCAGAGAATCTGATTCAGAGAAGTTTCTCATGTAACTTAAATTGTTTTTCTTTTTTTGTTTTAATACATTTTATTGATTTCAGAGAGGAAGGAGAGGGAGAAAGAGATAGAAACATCAATGATGAGAGAGACTCATTGATTGGCTATTTCCTGCACGCCCCCTACTGGGGATCAAGCCTGCAACTCAGGCATGTGCCCTTGACTGGAATTGAACCTGGGACCCTTCAGTCTGCAGGCTGACACTCTATCCACTGAGCCAAACCGGCTAGGGCAAATTGTTTATAACCAATTAGATGTTATTCAAAGTTATCTTGCTGTCAAATAAAAATGGTTAATTGCAAGGGGAAAGAACTGGTATTGTTTGGTTCAGTTGTTTTGACAATCTGCTATGGTTTGTGTATAAAACATATATAAAATTATAAAGAAAAAAATTCCTAGATTTTTACTGAAATAGGACCACTTTATAAATTTAGAAACTTAAGAGTTTTACTAGTATACTAGAGGCCCAGTGCATGACATTTTTGTACTCGGGGGTGTGGGGGTCACTCAGCCTGGCCTGCACCCTTTCACAGTCCAGGTGCCCTCTGGGGATGTCCACAGGAGCGGGCCTAAGCTGCAGTCGGATATCCTTAGTGCTGCTGTGGAGGCAGGCCGCTGCACTCGCCAGCCATCAGCCTGGCTTGTGGCTGAGCAGTGCTCCCCCTGTGGGAGCGCACTGACCATCAGGGGGCAGGCAGCTCCTCTGTTGAGCATCTGCCCCCTAGTGGTCAGTGTGCATCATAGCAACCGGTTGTTCTGCCGTTCGGTCGATTTGCCTATTACCCTTTTATTATATAGGATAGTACATTCAACCCTGCCTGCATTTTTCTTGCCAGTCTATCGCCTAGAAATTTCTTCAGAACCAAGAAGCAAAACTTAGAAAAGAGAATGGAAAGAGAAAAACTTTTTAGAGAAAGATTTGAGGTATGTTCTCCTCTGAAGGTAAAAACAACATTACAGGCTAGAAACTTCTGTTTATAAAGATTCTGACAGGATATTGCACCCCTGCTTGATTCAGACATGATTTCTGACTAAAAAGCTGGTATTTTTATGTTTTCTTGATGCATTCTTGTATTATCATGCCTTTGTATATGCTACTTCCTCTGCCTGGAAAAAGTCCTAAGGTGCTCAGTCCAGATGCCACCCACTCTTGCCCAATTCCTCCAGGTGAAGTCACTCCCTCAGCACACACATTACACACACACCTGTTACACAGATCAACGGTGTTACAACCTGTGCACACACACCCATTGGGAACTAAAACTCTCAAGTCCCTTTTGAAGGAGAGATTTTGTCTCACTCAGATTTGCTCCCAACATAAACTGGTGACATACTGCTCAGTGAATGAGTGAGGCACTGAACAAATACATGAACAGTGAAGAAGTGGGTGAAGCCTCTGCAGCTCCTGGCCTCTTACCCTGTCACAGAGTCCGTGAGCATTTTCCCATAATTCCAAACGAATCGAATGATTCTACCTTCTGGCTTTATATATGATCACAGTAAGAATTTATTAACTTAGGAACTTACGGAGCACCTCCCATGTGCCAGTCGCTGGACTGAGAGAGACAGAGTGTGCATCCTGCTCATAAAACTTGTCCAAGTTATGTCTCTGCCTAAAAACTTTCAAAAGTTCCCCATTACCAAGTGGGTAAAGTTTAAGGCTTTGTAAAGTGGCATATACAACTCCTCATGTCATGAAGACACATGAGTTTGCTGTAGACAGTTTCATACTATTTAACTGTGGCATGAAACTGTCTCCTGCAAATTGTCATGTTATTTGACTAGTTGAAAAACCAGTAAAATTTCTTGTTGAAAAAACCCCAGACATCCCATCTAGTGATTCCCCCCACTACCACCACCCGCCACACACACACACACACACACACACACACACACACACACACTGTATTTGGACTCGGATGGGACAGAAATTCCATTTTCCATGTGTATGATCCCATCCCTTCTCATTACCTATGGTAGCCTTTCTTGATATCCCATTAGAAAAAAAGTATTCCATTTCAATAACTTATTCCACTCAAATAATAAACTATTTGTGCCAGGCATTGAAGGTACAGGATGAATGAAACTACCTTACACTCTCATTTTATAGGACAAATGTTTATTATAATGCTGTAACAGGAGTATATACAAGATGCAATTAAAACAGTAAATTATACAGAGCAGTGATGAAAGTCTTCATGCAGGGTGGTTAAGAGGAAAAAAAAAAAAGGTAATCCAGGCAGAGAAAACAGCATGAGCAATGGCATGGAAATATGAAAGGTATGTGGTATATTCAGGATTATGATATAGCTTGATGTGGCTTCAATAAAAGAGACAGAAATGGGGGCATGGGAATGACAATGTGCAAAGGACCTTGAATATCAAGCTAAGAAATGTTACTCTGATCCTGAAAGCAGTGAAGAGTGGTGACCTAATCTGATTTGCGTTTTAGGAAATCACTGTGTACTCACAGTGAACAATGGCCTAGAAAGGGTAAGAAATCACTTAAGAAGCCATTACTCTATAATACAAATCTGTCTTTTGGATCAGATCCCACTTGGTGTAGGGTGATCTTAAAATTCATCATCCAAATTCAGGAGACTTTGAGAGTGGAAGGAGGCATACCTCATCTTAAATAATAAGTATCTGTAAATAAACACTGTCCTGAGCAAAGGGAGAAGTTTGGCCACCCAAATTTGGTAAAGTGACACCTGTCAATATAAGCTATATATTCTGGAACATTTCTCTTTTTTTCAGTCAAGGGATCTCAATACTTAGGTGATGTACCTATAAATGTATAGGCCAGCTAGTTACCCCTAAGGTCAGATATTGAATTGCTCAACCAATATCAATCAAGTTTTCCAGGTTTTTTTCCCCACAAATCCCTGACTTTGACCACAGGAGAGTGGGAATTGCCCCCACACCTATTCTTACTATTTTAGCTATATGTAGAAATATATAAATCCACCCAGAGGGAAAGGTGGAGAGTATGTAAGAACATTATAAATTCTAAGAGTTTTCTCTCCCACCTCCACCCTTTTTTGTAAACTTCTCCTTTCCTGGGTTTGGAACATTTAACATTACTATCCACAGTATTTAATGTATACCCTATGTTACAGCGTTCTCATTCACCAGAATGCATTCAAGCACAATTAGATAATGGATGTGAAAACAATGAAAATGCGATCTTACCAAGCAAATATAAGATTGTGGCATTTTACCATTATTTCCTTAAATAACATTCCTTTCAATGATTGTTTTGCTATTATTTTCTATTCCCTTAACAAATTAATATCTAGCATCTTGAGTTTATATTGTGGTTACTACTATATTACTTCCTCCATTGATTTTATTATAATGAAAGGAAAACGATGCAAGCACAGTCTGATTAGTGATTTCTCATTCCAGTATGATAAAGAGATTACTGTCATCAACACAGCAGTGGCGTGTTCCAGGAATTCAAGAAATGGGATCTTTGATTTGCCAATAACCCCTGGAGAAGAACTGGACGTCATTGATGTCACTGAAGAAAATCTAGTGATATGCCGCAATTCTAAAGGCAAATGTAAGTTACTGGCTCATTGCCCCCAAAATTTCACTGTTTTAAAAAAAATCTCAAAGCATTCTCTCTATAACTTAAATTTTTGTTTCTATAGATGGATATGTGCTAATTGAACATCTAGATTTCAAGTAAGTGGTTTGATTTTGTACTTCAAATAATGAATTTTAAACACTTAACACATTGTTGTATACATTCATTTCAAGGAAATACTATTCAATTTATTTACAATTCAGGAACACATCTGAAAATTAGATATGTGACGCCCTATTCTATAAGGATTACTTTGTAAGAGACTTTATTATTGTCTATTATTGTCTCCTGAGTGTGTTATCCAGCTCTACAGAGCATAATTATAAACATTTCAAAGGAGCATACAAATATTAAACGGGGTAAGAAATGCCCCAGAAATCTCCTGCTCATTACTCCACCGTCTACATTTCAAAATATATTTCTATTTTTTCTTAGGCCTCAAGGTTGTTCACCTTAGGAAGATCCACATCCAGTGTACCATGCACAAGTGAGAACCAGGTCTGAGATACTGGTCCTGCTCCCATCAGTTTACATGTCAAAATGAGATGGTGGAAACGTTCGTTAGGAACTCAGAAGAGAAAACAAACAAATCCTCCACATTTAGTTGATTTTACTCCCAAAAGGTTATCTTTCCATGTCTATTTTACTGCTGTCTCAGAGAATGGGAAAGTGTGTGCTAGCATTTGAGCACTTACTCAATGAGCCACATCTGAAGTTAGCAATCATGCCTATGGCACTACCTAGTCAGTTGTACAGATGGTTAGTGTGCTTCCCATGTGAGTACACAAGTGTTTATAATGTTCTAAAAGATGCTGTACATTTAAAATGGGTGTAATTTAATTCTAAAATAATAGTGCAACCATTTTATACTCAAAGTACAATTACAGCTCAAGGTATAAGTGTTCTGCTTTGTCACAAAATCAGACTCAAAATGGGTTTCTTTTGGAAATAGTATACTGAAAATCCACCCAATATACTTAAAGAAAATATATGCTGTATTGGTTTAAAATACCCTGTTGTCCAAAAATAAATAATATTTTGTCTATGCCTGAACACTTATTTAAATAATAGAATTTATATGAAAGTAATGAAAAGTAAGCTGTTAATAACATTCTGTATTTCAAATGATGTACACTGTCTGTTAAGCAGGGTGATTCTAGTGTTCCAGGGTGTAAATTTACTCCATGGCCACATCCTTTATATACTGTGAGATTATTTCATAAGCTTCTAGGTTCTTTTATTTCCTTTTTCAAGTTCCAAATAGCACTTGCCAATAAAGGCTAAGCTTATTCTAGAGACAAGAATCAAAAGTATTACAGTGTTTAGAGAGGGAAATAGGTATGAATGAAATGTGTCAAAGAGTAAGAAGGGCAACACTGAAGCTTGGCCTTTAACCACACATGTATTTGCTAGACGAGGCAGAGATAGAAAATCCACACTATCTGGTGACCAGGAAGAAATTGAAGGGACATGGCAAGAGCTGGAATGGGGTAAGTTGGGGCTAGAATATGACAGAGTGCTTACTCAAAGGTCTTAAAGAGGAAGGCAATGCCAGATGTTTAGAGAGAAAAGAAAAAAACAACCCCAGCAATATGGCTGATATATTAGAGAGAGGAGAGACTAGGTGCTTTTGCAATGTTCTAGACAAAAGAGCATTTGACCATAAGACAGCAATAAAAATATATAGGGCAGGAGCCTCACTAGAGATATTACAAAGGTAAGAGGATGAATTAGGGAATGACTCCAAGATTTCTTGGATGGTACCCAAATTGGAAATATATTTCTGCTTGGATCCCCTAAATTAAATGTACCTACTCAGTGAGAGGCAGGGCAACCACAGCCCTCTCCCACACCTCGGGCCAGACCTGTTACAGTGGGCAAGGAGGTAAGTGAAAGAGAAGACAGGGCTATGCAGCGCAGAGACCTTTCATGCAATAATTCTGCAGTGGCAACAGGACTAAATTTTAACTGAGATGGATTTGTCCCATCTCCTCACATGACCTTTTGTTCTAATTCCATGTCTCAGCTCAAAGTCTCAATTTTCTCATTAGTAAAACAGTTAACAACACTCACCTTATCTACTTCACAGGGGTTGTTGTCAGGCTGCAATGTAATAATATAAATAAGTGTCCTAAAATCTTTAATACAGAATACTGTATAAGTGCTGTTATTTCAGTACCTGGCCTTTTTTGAGGTTGGAAGATGTTGAAAACAAAAAATGTGTTTTGAAATTCAAATCTTAAGACTTGAAAAAAATGGCTGGGATGTAAGTACTTTTACATAGATATATAGGGTGCCCCCCCCCAAAAAATGTATATATACCCTTTGAATAATTATAAAGGCAGTGTTTATGAAAATAATTTCATTTTCAAAATTGCACTATCAGCTGTTAAAATGTGTATACATATATTTGGGATGCCCTGTATTTAACAGGATTTTAAAATTGAACATTTTCCTATGTTTTTAAAGTATAAACCATTTGATTTAACATAAACTAGTACCTCATTACTATTTGTCGATATGAACTATATTTTTAGGAAAAATAATTGCCTCTAATCTATAATCAATGTGATTGTTTCTATTTCACTGTCAGCCACATTTCTTCCATTACTTAAATCATACCTAAATTTCTCACTCTATTGATCTGTAAGATTCTCTAATGTAAACATCATAACTCATCATAACTAAGACTTCAGTAATGTCATGTCTCTATTTTACTTTTAATTCTGCATGAAAACATATCAGTAAATATAACATTCTGTCAGATAAAAACCATACAAATGTACTTGACCCTAACAGAGACTCACACTGGCCCACACAAATTCATTTATTGGCCAAGTCACCAGCCACCTGTTAACATGCACTGACAAAACCTTCCCTTCTTCCTGAGACTTCTGTGAAACACATGGTTTTCCAAGATGACATAGCATTCTGTTGACTGGGCCCTCCCTTGCACACCTTCAGAACTTTTAGAACACAGATTGTAGGGGAAGAATAGGAAGAGAGGAAAAGAAGAATATTTAATGACAAATTCCTAAGACGTAGTTGTTTCTGGGTAACAGGGTTAGGATGATTTTTTTTCCTCTTCTTCAAACATCCTGTACTTTTCAAATTTCCCACAGTAAGCATGCACTACCCGTGGAATTTAGGAAATAAAGGAAATGCATTTTTACTAATCAATACAAATTCCTTCTTCTAAGTTTGGAAAAGCAAATTGAAATCTTGTATGTCTTGACTTTGATGTGTCATTAATGAGGACTAAAGTACAGTGTTTTCCAAAAAGTTACTTTTAGGTATACTAGTATAAATATGGATAGTTACCATTACTGGTAGTACATAGGATCCCATCTGCATTGCTTGTTTTCTAGTCTCAGTGGCGGTTAGTATAAAATTTTGTTACCTGAGATCTTCTAGGCCATCCCCTTCCTGTTCTGTGGCTGTTGTAAGCAGAATGGTGGCCTCCATGATCTTCACGCCCTGGCTGGCACTATACCTGTAAATATGTTACATGACATTATAGATAAAATTAAGGCTGCTGACTTTAAAATGGGGAGATTATCCAGGTGAGCCCTATTTAATTGCATAGGCCCTTAGAAGAGCCAGCCAGAGAAGTAGTGGAAGAAGAGGCAGGAGACCTTTGAGCCATGAGCCAGCCCCCTATTGCTGGCTTTGAAGATGAAGGGAGCCATGGTCCAGAGAATAATAATGGCTCTAGAAGCTGCAAATGAGCCACTCCCCCTGACATGGTAGTGGTGACCCAAGACTCCGGCAACCCGGACATAGGGGCACCCTCCACCCTTATCCCCCAAGCAGCAACTTCCACAACCGCAGTGGTGCCCTCCACTCCACCACCACAATGATGCCAACAGCACCGGGCACCAGAGAGCAGAAAGACACAAGTAGTGCGTAAGAGAAAACTGAGACACATTATAGCACCTCCTATTGGAAAATAAGACCTCTAATTATCAACCTGCTGAATTGTTAAAATCAAAATGGTACCTAAACAGGAAATGTGTTCACTACTTAACTGCTCCAGAGAAGGAACAACACACCAAACACCATGAATAACCAAGATAACATGGTATCACAAAAAGAAAATGACAATTCTCTAGAAACCAAATTCAAAGTCATGGTAGACTGTATCTAAATGACAGAGAATTCAAAATAACAGACATGAAGAAACTCAACACAATACAAGAAAACTTGGAAAAGAAGGTCAATGAGATCAAGCATAAAATTAATGAACAGAAGGCGTACATTACCAAAAAGATTGAAACTCTAAAAAAAAAAAAGAAATTCTGGAACTGAAGAACTCAATAAATGAGATGAATGTATTAGAAAGAATTGGAAACAAGGCAGACAGATCATAAAGAGAGAATTAGCTCGCTCAAAGACTGAAATCTAGAAATTATTCCGGTTGAGGAGGAGAGAAAACTAAGATTTTTTAAAAATGAAAAAACTCCATGAGAACAACTGAACTCCATAAGAAAGGGCAATATAGGGATAACGGGCATTCCAGAAGAGAGGGAAAAGGGAACAGGATAGTACAAGAAGCTAACAGAACACCTAATTACCTCAATGCAAAGAGACCTTCTCCAAAAGGTTATATTAAAACCCAAAAGTTAATGACAAAGAATTTTCAAGGCAGCCATGGAAAAAAAGACAGTAACCTACAAAAGAAACCCGATCGAATTATCATCAGATTTCTCACCTACAGGCCAGGATGGAGAGAATATGAGAGAGAAAATCACTGGCCACGTACACTCTAACAAAATTATCCTTTACATCACGCCTGGGGAACCTCTTTTCTGCCAAGGGCCATTTGGATATTTATAACATTCACTTAATATAAATTTATGTTGCTATGAAGAAAGCTCCTAGATTTATTGAACCTCAAATCCTGCCTAGGATTGCCTTGGCAGGGCCAGACCAAATGATTTTGTGGGCCTTATATGGCCCGTGGGCCAGATGTTCCCCACCCCTGCTTTAGACATAAAGGGGAAATAAAGGCTACCCAGACAAACAAATGCTGAGGGAAATTACCACTACGAGACCCGCGTTACAAGAAATGTTGAAAGGAGCTCTTCAACCTAAAAGAAAAAGACAAAATATTTTGAGGAAGGTGTCTGGCAGAAGCAGGAAATCACAACTCTTTCGGTTGTTAAACACTTAAATATAACAAAGGTTAAAAGGGGGAAATGCATTAAAAACTTTAGCTACTTCAATTTGATAATAAACACAAATATATTATGGGATAATATGTGACAACAAAAACATAAAAAGGAGGCAACTGAAGTTTAGGCAATTGAAGATAAAACGCTATCAGAATAAAAAGGACTATTTTATCTCTGAGATATTTTATACAAGCCTCATGGTAACTACAAAACAAAAATCCAGAGCTCAGACATGAAACAAACAAACAAAAAAAGGAAATGGAGAAAAACATCATAGAAAACCACCAAACTAAAGTAGCAGACAGAAACACAGGGGAAAGAAACAATGAAGACACAGAACAATCAGAAATCAAAAGCTAACATGGCAGTAGTAAGTC